GAATGCTGCTCATACCTGCGCCGGCCGCGGGCAGCGGAGCCCCTCCGGAAACCGCGGAGGCGCCGGAGGGAAATTACTCACGCGTGCAGCAGCGCGTGCAAGAGAGGGTGCCCTTAAACATGATGCTTAAAGAAAAAAATATATTGCAAGTTAAATCAACTTCAGATTGATTTCCAGATACACCTCCGTGCCTGCAGAAAAGTGGAACGGCTGCAGCCAGCTATCAGTCGTTGCAAAAATCAAATGTTTCTGCAGTTCCTCCTAGTTCTTGTTTCCTAAAACAATATAGTTTTTTAATGTGCAAGAAACTATTTTTAATGAGATACAAACTACTATTTGTTTTCTGTTTCTGCTTGTTTTTCCTTCAGCTTATTTTTTAAACCAAAAAGTAAACACAAGGTTATGAAATCTCCAATTTCACATCAAAGGAGACTTGATTTATATATAGGTTCAAAGGAAGACTTTAAAGGAGGAGCATCATGACCAACTTGTTGGCCTTATGCTATTAGAATAATTTAAAAATCCACAAAGTAAATGTTGATAAATAAATAGCGCGTTGCCATAAATCAGCGTGTGGCTGCACATGAAAGCAGAGCTGTCTATCTGATGGGGTGGGAGGATATATATTATATATATATATTTTACCAGGGAAGTTTCAGTATTTCACCTGGGAGCAGCAGAAACTCCCTTGGTGGGAGGTATTTGGGCAGCCCAAAGCGCGTTGTGAAACGCAGGGCGAGCTGCGAGCAGGGCGACCGCGACGCTCCCGGTTCCGTAAGAGAAACGTGGAAAGCGGGAATATGCAAATTGCAGTAAAATGCCAGAAAAAAAAATAAGTGCACGGAGCACTGCACCCCCGGGAAGGCCGGGATGCGCCAGGCAGCTCCCGCGCGGCGCCGGCGCCTCCGTCGGGCACCACCGGGACACACGGACGCTCCCGCGCTCGGCGGAAGCAACGAGCATTGATCGGGGTTAAAATTTCCGCCTTGTTGTTTATGCCCCGGGGGGAAAGGGCGGCAGCGGCGATGACACAACCGGCAGCTGGACGAGTTTCAGCTTCCTCGGAAGGTTTGGTCCAGGCTTGTCCAGCCTGTCCTGGAGGAGCAGCGCAATTAACAAGGCCATCTCGTTAAATGTGCGAAGCGGCAATTTAAATTTAATTTAAATTTGCATCAGGCTCCGCAGTCATCGCTTAGGCAAATCCAGCAGGGGTTTTACCCAAGTCGGAAAACAGGCTTTGGAAAATTCAAACAACTCCGTGCCCTGAAATGACTTCTCGGAGACGGTCAGGAGGGAAACTCTGGCAGCTCCTGCTTGGCACAGCGGGTTTCCTCCCGGAGCGCAGGCTACGGAGTCGCTCTCCCCGTGCAAAATCCAGGGGCTGTTTGTGCTGGAGTGAACACGACCCCAGCACCGAGCCCCAGGAATGCACTGATTAATGTAAATGCGTTCCCAGGAGAAACCCGTCATGCAGACAGGCAGGCAGCTCTGCGGACGGTCGTTTCCTGCCCTTAAACCCTCCTGCCCTTACAGTGAGGAGCCTTTCAGCAGCACGTCCCAGTCTACAAGCCTGGGTCGGCATGGGGCTGCCCCGGGAATCGCATCCTGCCTTTTCCAGGATGAGCCAGCAGCCCCC